TATATATATATATATATATATATATATATATATATGCATATATATATATGCATATATATATATGCATATATATATATGCATATATATATATATGCATATATATATATATGCATATATATATATGCATATATATATGTATATATATATGTATATATATATATATATATATATATATATATATATATATATATATATATATATATATATATATATATATATATATATATATATATGCATATATATATATATATATATAGCATATATATATATATATATATATATATATATATATATATATATATATATATATATATATATATATATATATATGCATATATATATATATATATATATATATATATATATATATATATATATATATATATATATATATATATATGCATATATATATATATATATGCATATATATATATATATATATATATATATATATATATATGCATATATATATATATGCATATATATATATATATGCATATATATATATATATATATATATATGCATATATATATATATGCATATATATATATATATATATATATATATATATATGCATATATATATATATATATATATATATATATGCATATATATATATATGCATATATATATATATATATATATATATATGCATATATATATATATATATATATATATATGCATATATATATATATGCATATATATATATGCATATATATATATATATGCATATATATATATATGCATATATATATATATGCATATATATATATGCATATATATATATGTGCATATAAATATATATGTGCATATATATATATATGCATATATATATATATGCATATATATATATATATGCATATATATATATGTGCATATATATATATATATATGTGCATATATATATATATATATGTGCATATATATATATATGCATATATATATATATGCATATATATATATATATATATATATATATATATATATATATATATATATATATATATATATATATATATATATATATATATGCATATATATATATATATATATATATATATGCATATATATATATATATATATGCATATATATATATATGCATATATATATATATATATATATATATATATGCATATATATATATATATATATATATATATATATATATATATATATATATATATATATGCATATATATATATATATATATGCATATATATATATATATGCATATATATATATATATATATATATATGCATATATATATATATATATATATATATATATATATATATATATATATATATATATATATGCATATATATATATATATATATATATGCATATATATATATATATATATATATATATATATGCATATATATATATATATATGCATATATATATATATATGCATATATATATATATATATGCATATATATATATATATGCATATATATATATATATATATATATATATATATATATATATATATATATATATATATATATATATATATATATATATATATATGCATATATATATATATATATATATATATATATATATGCATATATATATATATATATATATATGCATATATATATATATATGCATATATATATATATATATATATATGCATATATATATATATATATATATATATATATATATATATATATATATATATATATATATATATATATATATATGCATATGTATATGCATATATACACACATGCATATGCATATATATTATATATGAAATATTGTAAACTTTTCATTTCCCTCTACTTGCTTCTATTTTTGTCCATAATCTGATAAAGGAGACCGTCACTTGAATAATGAAAAAAGTAACAGCCATCTTGGCTAATCACAACTGATGTTTAAATCCTGAGCATATGGCCTTATGAAGCTGTCATGACTGCTCAATTCTTTTGTTCATTATCAGTGATGATAATAATCATCAAGTCTATAAAGTGCATTACTTGTGGTAAGAAATTAAGAAAAACGTGAAGTAGTGCACTTTTCTCCATAGTCATTCCTACAGATATAACCAGCATTACACAACTTGCTACAAATAGGTTATTTTCAAATTCAGATTCTTGTTCCCAATTCACTTGGCAACACAGGCTCTGGCAGCAGTCAGACAAAAAAAGTTTTGATTTAAACTCTAATAAAATGTATAAATTCTAAAAACCTTTATAAACTACATCATATCTACATTAACCCTTTGTCAACGGGAATGCCATGCCATGCCCATTGTGAGTTCACTCATTTGATTGTTTTTACACATAGATAGCTACACTTGTACTAAACCACCAATGAGCCCATTACAAGTACTGCCTGTCTCGCCCGTTCACCCTTTTCTTTAATTTTCGAAAATAATTTGTTATCTTATTTTGCTATTACTAATGTTTATAACATTATAGTAATTATAATGTTTATAATAAAATTAACACCATCGATATTCATTGCACTAGTAAAAAATACATTTTCCAGCCAATTCATGGAAAGGTGAAATCAGATAAGGCATAGCCATCTATGTGTAGTGACATTTCACAAAAAAAATAAATAAATAAATAAAAAATGCATTTTCCCCATTTTTTATTCCTTTTCCCCGTCAGCAATGGGTTAATTATGGAGTTATTATATTTTGAAGGTTTAAAAAATGCAAATGCATTTCTATATACAAAAGTATTCAGAATGTGTCACTTTAGAATGTGTTCTCCTAATGTGTTCTACCATATGATAATGAATGTATAGCTGCAGTATACATCATATGATGGGAAAGCCCTTCTAGAATGGGTGTGGTACTTGTTATGACCAAAATGTCCCTCCCCCCTTTTTTTGTAAAGAAAACTATTCTAATCCACTGCATTCATGGGAGGGTAGCCTAGAAAACTTACCTATTAATTTTATTTACGTATATGTGACAATCAAAAACTTGTGTACAACTTGTTCTTTAGCAAGATAACTTGAACTTAAACCTAAACTTTACTAAACAATAACAACAATAGATGTATTCTTTGTATTAAAAATACTTACCATCCAAAACTCTTATTTTTCTGCAATTTCTGTCAATATATTTCCTAACAATACCAGACTATCATCACTGAAAACATTTCTCTGGTGTACACACACACAGAGGAAAAACTACAAAATACACAAACATTCTCATAGAAGGACATAGGGAAATTATGTGTTTTTTTTAATTCCTGAAGCTTTTTAGTCAAAGACAAATATTGTGAAATCCAAATTCTATAAAACAGAACCACTGTATGAAAGCTACAAATTTGAAACACTGTGTAAAATGTTGTGTTCTTTCCCTTCTTTTTCAAATAAAGTATTTTTCATAAAGCACTGCTAAATATCATAACATCCTAAGCTTACCATGGTAAAAAAAAAAAAAAAAAAAAAAAACATGTTACAGCAATATGGAGATTACCAAGTTTATAAAAAAAAAAAAAGGAAAGTCTAACATGCAAGGAATGAAGGAAGTACTAACCTGTTTTCCTTTTTCATATGGCACCTCCTGCGTATCACGAGAATTTGTTACAGGTTTGTTCTCATTGTTCTCCAGCCGAATGTGCCGCAGTTGGCTATTTGGAACGTCCTTTACAAATATCCACTTCACTCGAAACTGGCCTTTCCATTTGTCTTGGGCCCACACTGATGATGATGAGTTGTAGTCTACAGTGGAAATCATGTGGGCTAATCCACAAAAGTGTCCAGATCCATTCACTGAGAAGAAAAGGTACACTGGCCCCTTACCCTCTCGTTCACGGAAAGCAGAGTCAAGACGCTTGTTACCGTGTTCTGTGGAGCACCATATCTCATATTTGATAGAACGGTGAATATCGTCCTCTGAATAAGATTTAATCACAAAGAAACGTGCATTTTTAGGGCTAAGGTCAAAATCCTTAGGGTTGTAGTCATTGCGCATTCGCAAGTCTTCCAAGATACCATCATCTGTCTGTAGCTCGTTAATCTGTCCTGGGGCATGAGACATGGGCCGGGACACAGGTACCGGTGGTCCACTCTGAGGTGACGGGGCAAGTTCCATGTTGGAGTGCATTCCTCCTCCCGCAAGCATAGGTGCTTGAGGGGGTTGCTGCTGCTGGGGTGATGGAGGCAACTGCTGCTGCAGTTGTTGGTTCTGGTGCTGATGCTGCTGGTGCTGGTGCTGCTGGTGTTGATGTTGCTGATGTGACTGGTGCTGCTGCTGAGGATGCATGTGCTGTTGGTGTGGGTGCTGCTGGAGTGACTGCTGTTGCTGCTGATGCTGTTGTGGGGATGCCTGCAGCTGCTGCTGTTGCTGCTGCTGCTGCTGTTGTTGTTGCTGTTGTTGTTGCTGCTGCTGTGGTTGACCTGGTTGCTGCACTTGCTGAGGCTGAGGCACCTGGGGTGGGGTGCGAGGTGGTGGGGTAGAGTACGAAGCAGAGGTAGTGGATCGCGTGCCTCCTCGTGGAGCTTCCCATGCAGGGCGGGGGACAGGTGGTGGTGCAACGGGTTTCGGTCCACCTCCATTCTTCCCCTCCCAGGTTCCAATGTCCATATGACGACCAGGTACAATGGAGGACATTGTAGTCTTGTCTCGCCGTCTATTTGGTTGAGGCTTGGCTGGCTGGGAGGCAATACTAGCCCAAGACATACCTTTCTTTGGCTGCCCGAGTCCAACTGATGTTTCTCCTCCTGGACTGCTGGCCCCACTAGCCTTGACTTCAACTCCCCCACTCCCGTTAGTGGCTGCATTTTTATTAGCTCCAGGTCCACCTTCCCTAGGCAAATCCTGACCTGTTTTGGGGTCAGCAAGAGTTAGTCCCTCTACACCTTGATCCAAAGCTTTTACACGTTCATCGGTGTAGACATTATCTCGCTGGTAGTAGTCGTCATACTGCTTGTTCCCTCCACGAACCTCTGACCCTCCCCATGCATTGTAGTCACCATTCCCATGAAAACCATAGTTAAAGCCGGGAGGGTTGAAGCCAC